GAATATTTTCGTTTCCTCGTTGATATCAACGAGGAAACGAAAATATTCCTCAACTACTGATGATGAGTCATGGCTTTTGTTTCTTTTCAATAGTCTTCTGTTTTTTGCGTTGCTCCAGCTTTTCTTTTTTTAAAATAACATTCTCTTGTTTTTTCTTCTGCCTCTCTTCAGCTCTTTTCTTTTTTTCCTCTAGTAAAAGTAGCTTTTTATTCTCTTTATTTTCATGGTAGCTTTGCCATTCTTTTGATGTAACAACTGCTGGTATCTTCTCTACTTTTCGTTTTTTTTGAGGTCGCGGGCTTAGGTTCAGGCCAGAAAAGCACACGCTTTCTTCAGGTGATGAGTGCATCTTTATTAAGTCAAAACCACCTGAGGCTCTCACACTTGTGACAGAGGGGCCTGGTAGACTTGTTTTTGCCGAATCAACATCGGATTCTTGAGGAGATTTTGGCGACTGGTAAGTATTTTTATTATCCTTTGTTGGTGTTACATGGGGCTCATAAATCGCTGATTTATGTACATCTACTTGCACCAATATCTTGTTGAAAGTATCTGCTTCAGATATGGGTATTGGTTGGGCATTTATTTCAGTGTTTAAGTCTTGTATTAAATTATCCAGGGCGGAATTATTATTGACCTCTTCATCTTCAGATATTAAATTTGTTGCATCTTGTTCTTCTGCAGAACTTCTTGAATCGCCTTCTCCATATCCTCTTCATTGTACCTGAACATTTGTCCCTTTATAGGCATACTTAATCTAAAATGTTATGTTTCAGTAGATGACATCCTAAAATTCTAGTAGATGACATTAGTGTCAACTACTAGATCCACTGAACTTGGTGCAATATTATTGATGGAGGATTATTTTTTTTTAATAATGAAAAAAATGCATTAGAAAACGTATTAAAATCAAGAGCCTGTGCATAACACTAGTAGTTGACATCAATGTCAATTACTAGAAAACTTGGTTCTCTTGTTTTAGTGTTTGACACCAAGCTTATTCCTCATTTAGAGGTTAGAATTCGTTTTTTTTAAAGAACATTCATTTCTCTTATACCTGCACATCAAAATGGTACAACTACAATCAAAATCATGCAAAGTTTAATTCAGAAATATTTTTTTTATAATCTTACCTTCTTATCACAAATATTAAGTAAATTCACAACAAATAAACTGGATTTGACCATGCAACACAAAATGGGCGCCAAAATGCGGTTTTGAGCCAGAATGATTTCAAAATTGGACAGTCACCTCACAGATGTTGATAGTTAGTCCTAGCGTTCACAGAATGTTAGAAATATTTTTTAATTTCCTATTTTGAAAGATTAAAATCAAGAATGTCAACTACTAACACGGTGTCAAGTACTAGTGCGTTTACCTTAATATGATCCTTACAACTAATTAATAAACACCGCTACCCTATCAATAATTATTATTATAACAAGTGTAGGTATGACATTTATAAACTAAGTATTTATTGTGATATTTCACGAAACAAATATGGATTAAAGCTAACTATTAATTTATAAACAATACTCGTCGATACTTTAAATTATGCGTATAAATTGCGACAAAGGCTGCTAATGTAATTATTTATAATAATTAATAAATTGTATTCTACATATGTAATCAGTTATGATTTTCTAGATTGTTAATCAAACCTGATTCTTAATACTAATTTAATTCAAGAAAACAATTAAAAATGTCACACTTTGTTGCCTACACGGAATTCTCACACACCTTTTACCAAATTTGCCAAAAATCACAAACAAAGAACATCTCATAAACCTTGAAACATGTATTTTAATAATTTTGCATATGGCGTGCCTTTTAGAATGTTTTAAACTAATTTTGCTGAAAATTTACATAATTTTCAAAACAAATACGTTTTTAATTTTATGTTTAATTTTTGACCCCTCAAATTGCGAAATAATTTCCACGTGCATATTTTAACATAATTTAACTGGATTGGGTAAATCACGTTACAAATAAATAACATATAGATGAATAATTGTTGTTAATTGTTTTTGCTGTGTAATTTGTTTACTTACACACGTGTTTTACTTTATTACCTTAATTACCTATCTTGAATTGAAAAAAATAACCTTTCATTTATCAATAAAGTCAATTTTTACTATTCCAATTTTGGCTAAAAAACGATTTTATTTTGTTGAAAACTTTATGAATGTGTACAATTTATTTTCTTTAGTTTAATTAGGAACCATAGCTACATTACCAATGATTCTATGTTAAAGTACCTACTTGATTAACAATATATATGTATATATATATGAATTTGAATGTTTGCATGCCAAAAAAAACAATGTTTCGACAATATCACAAAAACAAAAAGGTATTTCCACTAAACCTTACCCCACCTTGACAAAAAATCAGATGTGTTATTTAACAAAATAACAACTTTATCTGAAGTCAAATAGTTTAATTGCGACGTAATTTATAACCTTACAATATTCGTACATTGTGATGCTAAGAAGCTAAGAGTTTCAATACTCGTTACATTTTGAGAACATTTTAGAAAATAAAGTATGCAATTTTTGTGCATTTAAAATACGTGCTTGTTTAAGGTTACTATTCAAGTTTTACACAAAAAATTATTACTATATGCCAGGGATAGCGAACCTATGGCACGCGTGCCATGAGGGGCACGTTTTAAATTTTTCTTGGCACGTTTTGAGAACAAAATTTGTTCATCTTAAGCTAATTTTTAAGTTTAAAAAATTGCGTATTTTATTCCAATTAAAACATAACTTATAACTAAACTCCGTAAAATTTAATGTCTATGTTAGCCTTGTAATCATAAGCGACAAATTTTACAATTTTTAATAAATATCGCTAGAATTTTATCTAGGTGTTAAATATAAACAACGATAAAACTTCTTTGTTTGTAAAGCTTTTAATTTGTAATCTTGAATGTTTTATTACAAAGTTTAACTTAAGAATAAGCTAGATTTTGATACTATACAGACTTAAATATCTTGAACAATAATGATTTTAAAAAGAACCATGAAATTTTAAACAAAATGGCTTATTTTTGTAAATATAAAATTTACAACATAGAACCTTTTTAGTAATTTAATGCTCCAAATAAAATAATTCTATTTATAATTTTTGTGAACATCTATTTTAAGTATGCATCTTTGTTAGATTTTGATCTTTTATTTCTTAAATCGTACGGTACAGATATAATCTAATGAAAAAAAACGAGACTAAATTTATTTCTTAAAATATAACAATGTATAAAAAAATTTCTAAATAATGATTTACTTTTTTTATAATATTTTTTTATACTTTCATCTTCATAACATTTACAAAAATTTACTTGTGGTACATTACAATATGAAAAATTTTTTTTATAGTTTTTTGGCACGCATACTAAAAAAGGTTCGTCATCCCTGCTACCTATATGCTTTCATCCAAAATTTTACAGTATCAACTTTAGAAGCCAACTTGGTCACATTTGCCGATTTTCTAAGGTCGCGCCTGTTACTCTATGACGTTATAAAAGGTTTTCTATACAAGTTTTTATTGACATTTTGTTTGAGTTAAATACCTAATTTTTCATAGTATTTTTTTATATTTTATCTTGATATATAGGAACAAACACTTTATTATCATGAAAAACGCAGTTTTAGTGTCGCACCCGTTACAATAGAAATACCCAAAAGCTAATTAAGCAAAATGCTTGGTCTTGAAAAAACGGACACCCTAAGAATTTAAAAAACTATCCTGAATTTTTTGCAATATGAACTGTATAGAACCAAAGGTTTCCCGAGAAATGGATTGGTAGAAGAGGAATGGCCGGCAAGACCTCCAAATTTAACGACACTTGATTTTTTCTTTGGGGTCATTTAAAAACACTTGTATAGGTACAAAACACCTCCTGAAAACATTCAAGAGCTCGAACGAAGAATAATTCAATAATTTTTCATAATATGTTATATTATGACAACATTCAATGTTAAAAATCTTATTCATTGTTTATATTTAAATATTATTTATATTAATTTTTAATTTAATGTTTCTATAGATAATTATTGAGAATTTGTCAGGGACATTTTCCATTGTTCTTTTTTTTAATATGGTAGCTACTTTTATACATTGAAACTAAAAGCAAAGATTAAATATACTCTTTCTATAGAGTATATTTAATCTTTGCTAAAAGTCTAAACAAAGACTAAATAAAGTATATTTATAATTTATTTATTGCGATAAAAATTCGTAAATATCCTTGATTTTAAGTTTTGTTGTTTGTATAAAATTATCATATAAATAATGTATTATCCTGCAGAGGGATAATGTAAAATTATACTGTTTACATATATTTGAAAAAGGACCTTTATTAAGGATAAGGATTAGAGTGGCGCAAAAAAACCGACTATTTTTTTTTTTTGAGTCTCGAGTGAAAAAATGTTAGTTTTTTATGTTTTAAGAGGTCTCTCCAAAGGACAGCTCAAAAAAAATTTTTTTAGAGGTCGCTCCAAATTTTTTTAAATTTCAAAAATCGTCAAAATGTTGTATTGATTAAATAAAATTATTAAATTAAAAAAAAATTATGTTTTCTATATTGTGCTTGATTTTTAGTTCATCTCGTGGTGTATTTGTATCGATTATTGTACTAAATAAAATAAAAATGCGTGGAATTTTAATGTGAATATTAAAAGGTCGCTCGAAAAAATCTAAAGTAATGCACTGATAAATTTAAAAAAATTATGAGCGACCTTTCAAAATTTCAATTTTGATCTGAAACTTTCAGAAACTTATTTTTTTTATGTCTGTAAAATTATACCGTCCCGAGAAAAAAAAATCGATTTTTGAAGATTTTTGAAATTAAAAAAATTTTTTTTTGAGCTGTCCTTCGGAGAGGCCTCTTAAAACATCAAAAACTAACATTTTTTCACTCGAGACTCAAAAAAAAATAGTCGGTTTTTTGCGCCACCCTAATAAGGATAATTTAAAAAAAAGTCTACGAAAGGACTTACATCATCATCCTCGAGTTGTCCGTACACATCTAACTTGTCGATTCTGATTGTCCCTTGAAAAGGATAACACAAGGATCCCTGGGCGATGGTAGTGTTCGACCATACCGACACTTCAGGATCGGATTTTCTGCCGATGGCAGGATTACGCACGCACAAACTGAACTCCTGCGGAATCAAAACGCACGTCTCCATAATGATCGAGAGAAAAAGTTTCAACACATCGGGCACCGACTCGTATGGGGTTGGTTTGCCTTGTTTACGCGACGTACAGAGTCGTTCCAGTGACCGCAGCCTTGTGTGAATGGCACTGAACTAACATTGACCCTCAGAAAGAAGGAGTCTTGTGGCCACTTTGGAGTAGTCCCCACCCCGTTCGAGCGTGCACGTGGTGTCAGGTAGACCGTTCTTGCTTTACCGAAGTAACAGGTGCTCGAGTTTGTCTACGGTATGTAGTGCGAGCGCCGACGGATCCAGCGGGCCGAGCCCAAGCCCGGCTCCCTATGTTACTATAGTATATATATACTGTATATAGAAGGTAGCTGTTTTTGTTGCTGTTTTCGCTTCAGAGAAAACGTCAAGATTTTTCAGTTTTCAAGGGACATGATTCCCACATTGGTAACGCTGGTTTACGAATTAATAAAAAAGAAATGCCCATGCGGTGCCATTATTTATACCCACTCTTTATTTTTGTTGTTGTTTTTGTAGACAAAAATCACTGCAAATGCTGATAAAATCAAATGAAGTTTCGTTGCTTAATCCACTGTTGGGATCTCCAAAACACTAAAAATTAAGACGTCAATCCCTAGGGGAGAGTCTGGACACTGGGAGACAATGGACACTTTCAAATTTCGCAGTTCCAGTAATAATTTCAGGTTGGTTCTACTATTACAAATCGTCAGGTTGGTAAGGAATCAAATAGTGGTAGTGAAATGAGTTTAGGTGTAGAAGAGATAAGTGAAAAGTTTTTTATGTTATATTTTACTTTCCCCTTGTAAGCTTTTCTGCCCAGACCGTTGTAGGTAAATAATTTAAAGTTACCACATATTAAAGCATGTATAAAGGATGGAACTTTTGTTATATCCTTACTTTATTTCGTTGCTATATTTTGAAATTATAATTTTTTTTTTGTTCCACATCTTGTAGGGAGAGTTTGGACACACTGTCTAGAGTCTTCCTCTATTGTCCAAACATTGTCCCGGCACTACGTTAGCAAAATATTGCAAAAATTAAACCAAGTATACAGTCAAATTCCTTAAAATGCAGTTTCTATCATACGGATTTAAAGAAACAGATGAAGATGAAGCCTTGGTGGATTTTAAGGACGTGGTATTGGTTCTTTCCTTCACTGACGGAGTTCGATTCCATTACATGATTTACTTTAATTTTGATTTATCGCAATTTAGTATTGTATAAGTTTTGCACTGATTTTTTCAATAAAATTCCTAAATTTAAAATATTTTATAGTGTCCCCGTACGCTGTCCAGAATCTCCCCGTATGTGGGGTGACTTTGGACAGATGACCGAAAATTTTCAAAAATTCGTAGCAAACCCATGTTACGGTTTAAAGTGCACATATTTATCTCTTTGCGTTTTTAGAAGTCAACACTATTACCTGAAACTTTGAAATAATTACATTTTTAAGAGACCCAGGCAAAAAAATCTAAAAATTGTCCAATGTCTCCCCACTCTCCTCTTCTTTCCCCCCACATTCAGTTTTCAAGGATTCCACATTGGTAAAGCTGGTTTACAAATTAATACGTAAAAAAGAAATGCCCATTCGGTACCACTACACAGAAAAAAATAATCTCTTAAAAGAAAGAAAATCACTTTGATTCAAAAGATTTGCGCTTTTAAATAGGGCTAAGAGCTATTCGTTTAAGGATAATATCCTTAGGATATTACAATATTAGCTTAAATCAAGAGCAAGCGATTTCTTGGTAAAAGAACCAAAAATATTTCTTCGGAAGATATTTCTATTTTGAATGAAGAAAACGTTTTTTAGCGCAAAAAATGGGATTTTAACAAGAAAACTGCATCTCTTAATTGAAAAGCCTAGGAACTTTCTAAGAAAGAAAATTTGTCTTGCCACATAAGCATATACTATTGACCTAACCACATTTTATTTTGATTTTAGAGCAAATATCTCTTGGTCCAATAGTATGTATTGCTTTATTCAAAAGCTTCTGATCTTTACTGAAACTACCAGCGTTGTTAGTATTTAAGCTTAAATTCCCCTCACCACCTTTTGATTTTAATTATTAAAACCTTTAAACATTAAACAAATTAATTTATTTTTTTATTTAAAAAGAGTTTTAATGATTCCAACTCCACTGTGAAAGTACATACAACACGCCACAACACAACACAACCGGCAAAATGTATTTTAGAAATACCTATAATAGAGTTATAATATTATATCACTGCCCCTGGAAAATGGCGAATTGCAAGTTGCAATGATACAAAACGTACTAAACACGTGTGCCGCAAATGGTGTGCGCGTTTTGCATCCCCTCCCATGTATCAGAAGCTTCAATATTTTGTTAGAAAATTGGCATGCTATTGGGATAATTGTGATGTATCTTAAATGAATTGCGTAAATATGAATAATTTTCATAGCTTTTGAACAAAAACACTTTGCACTTGGTTGAAAGAAGAAAAATTCAAGAGATTTTGTATTTGTTTTCAAGATAACTATACTTCTTCCACTAAGGACTTTTCTTTAAGCAATAAATACTCTTTATCTCCACGCGGTCTATAATTTAAACTTTATTGTTGTCAACATTCGATAAAGAAATAACTTGTTATGGCCTAGGCCGATATTTTTATGAGGCAAGTAATTAGTTCGATTTTTTCTCGCTAGGGGTATTGTTTTGACAAATTAATCCTTTTCTAAGAAATTAACGTACTAAACTGGTTTAATTTATTTATAATAAGCACTAATTTGTTTGTTTTACTGTTAATGTTTATTATTTTTCATTAAATTATTGTAAAATTAAATATGAATAATAAAACAAAATGTGAGGTTAGGACATTGCAATTTGACGTTTCTGTGTATTTCACAGTTGTGTTTTCTTTTTCTACGATTTAAATTATCTTTAAGTTTTCAGTGAAATTAAATGTTAAACACAGCGTAAACATTCCAAACTACCTATTTTTTAATAAAAATGCAAACAAATTGAAATTAGATACCTATTTATTAAACAATTAATTGAATTCAATGTAATAACAATTTTCTTACAAAAATCCATTTCTACTTAAATCATGTAGCTAGGTATTGTCAAACTATTATAATAGTTTGACAATATAGTATACAGTATACTGCTTCTAAAAGGAATAATAATTATTGTACATTTAATGTAATCTTTAGCTAATAAATAAATGAGATTCTAAAAAGTGAGGTTAGGCCGCTTTCATGTTGAATTAAATTGACCTATATAAAGTGCTTTGAAGATAAAATGTTGTATGCCATTCGGCCAAGAAGTGTCTTTTTATGCTTCGCTCAATTGTAGGCCTCCGCTACGCGTCGGCCTTTAAACTTTGAGCTTAGCACAAAAAGCCTTACTTCTTAACCTAATGACATAAATAACTATTTATGCTAAAGTATTGTTTCTTGCCGCTAATAATTTTTTATCAAGAGAGTTGACTACTACTCTTTATTTTGGTTGCTGTTTTTGTAGACAAAAATCACTGCAAACCTGATAAAATTAAATAAAGTTTCGTCGCTTAATCCACTGTTGGGATCTCCAAACCAAAACTCAAAATTAAGACGTCAATCCCTACTTTCCCCCCACTTTCTCAACGTAGGTGTACATCTAATTATCAGTACGATAATTTTAACACTTTCTAATACGATTCTGTGATTTATACTACGTTTATTTCTTAGCCTATAACCGCATGAGTCAATTTGTAACGGTAGCTGTTAATTTGTGGTTAGTCAACGTTGATTTATTAGCTATTGTTACATCTAAGTAGGTATTGGGTTTGTTTTAAAAGTTTTAAACAAAACAATAATTCTGCTTTTGGGGAGTGGGGAACTTGGCTTACTCGAATAATTATGATTTTTTTAGCGTTTCCGCAGAAAAATATGTCGATGGTAATTTGTCTGGCGGTATATACTTATATATACCTATATAAATTTTTAGTACCTACTTGACTATAATTAATGAGGATTTTCAATAAATATATTTATCTATAGATGCTTTATTTATCCAGGGAGTATTATAATTATAACATGTATCCATAAATCAATCATGGCAATGTATAATTAATCTTGAATCATTAAGAAATGAACATATTACGCCATATAACATCTGTTTTGTTTATTTGAATTCAAAATCATGTTTTGACGAAAAAAAGTTTTTAGCCAAAATTGAACATCAACAATGTTTGTCCAATTTAAATGAAATTAAAAAAAAATTTAACTTCATTTTTTAACTTTATTGTATTAAAATTTTAATGCAATCAAATAAATAATTTCAAGATGGCCCTCAAAAAAACCGCGCGGGTCAAAACATAACAGTCTTGAAAATTTGGAACTTAAGGCTTTTCAGGTTCTGTATCTGTCAAAGTATAGTCAATGAAAGAAATAATATTTATAGTGTTACCGCTTATGTTTAAACGTTAAAAGTTAATAAATCTTTATAATATCACAATAACAATGGTTGGTTTAAGAATTTAGGAATATAAATACTGCATTTAATGAAATTCCAAAGTGTAAGGTGCAATACCTATAAGTGATATTTTTGTGCATTGGGTCTACGTTTCTCCATAAAATAGTTTTAACTACACAGCATTTATTAAAAAAAATCTAACTTCTCTATTATGAAATAAGAATATCTGTATCAAAGGTAGGTAAGAACTATAAATCCGGAACAAAAAATATCATCTAATTTTGTATTTTAAGGTTAGAAAAATCTATTTTGACCAAAATAAATAAGTGGATTATTTGGAAGAGTATGTTAACCCAGACCGCAAAATCACATTCCCTGCACATGCCAGGAATATTCCCAGGAATATTCCAATCGTCCCAGAATATTCCCAGGAATATTCCTGGCATAATCAAATGTCCGCTTTTTGATTACCCAGGCATCATAAAAAGAATATTCCATATATCTGCCTGCAGAAGACAGTCTTCTGAAGACTCAAGGATTATTAGGGGAATATTCCTTGATATAATTTGGGGATTATTCCCAGCCCATATTGCCTCTTATACCCAGGAACTTAACTTAAGTATAGCCATTTTGAGTTACTGAGTAGATCAGTCCCACTCTAATCATTGTTTGGCTGTGCC